CGTGGGAAAATACCCGAACAAAGCTGAATGCCATACATGTAAGTACCTGCGAAAACTTAAGAAAATATATATATATATATATATATGTTATATACATTATAATGCGATATTTTATATACATACATACTTGAAGCAACTGTCAGTTGTCCATATATATATATATATATATATATATATATATACATACACAAAATGTGGACATGGTGAAAGAGCAATTAGGACTGATCTTTGCATGATTGCATGAACTTTTATTGATACAATCTCCACAACAGGCAACACCGACTTGCAAAATCAATAGCGGGTTTCAAACTTGATGGTTGTACTAGAATCTCATCCTCCTCAGGAAAAGGAAAAGGTTGGATCATTGCCTTTCATGTCCCGGATCAATGGCTGCATTTTCACCATTCCAGCAGAGCCATAGACAGCTGTAGACATTGGGCAGAACACAGTTTAGCAAAACACGGGACCAGGGTCTGTTTTGTTTAACAGAGTGAGATTCCAGAGAAAGGGGGGAAAAAAGAAATGAAATCAAATCCGCAGAGAGCTTCGACTATTGTTTTGCTTGGAAAGACTCCACTCTTGTGAGCAGATAAGTGTTGGTTGCAAATTGCAATGTATATGTATATGTGTGTGTGAGGGGAAGGAGAGAGAGATTTTCCAGAAAGACATGCCAGCCGGGCAGCATTTAAAACGGAAACGGAAAAAAAAAAATCCATGCAGGGAACTTTGGACGAATTTTGAAACTTTTAATCTCCTCTGAAGCACTAAAACAAAGTAATGGTGGCGGGTCCTACATTAGGGAGTTTCTGCGGCACAGAAGAAACCATGCACACACAAAAAAGGCAAAGCAGACGCAATGATTGCTTAAGAAGAAGTACAAAAGAGTAAACGATTATTGAAGCCCCAAAGTCTTAAGTTTGGTCAAAAAACCCCTTCAAGGATTGCATTACATCTTAATTCCTCCCTCCTCCGTGTTAAATCTGACAGCTTTTCGGCTTCGGAATCCATCCAGAAAATCGTTCTTCCCACCCCACTAAAAGTTAGTAAATTCCATTCTTTTAGGAAGAGCACTGGACAGAAAAGCTTTTGGCCACCTGTCAAAAGGAGCCGGAACTTTGGAGTTTTACGCCTTCTTTACCCATCTTATTCGGCGGGGACTCCGGCTGAGCCTAGCCCGACTTAACTCCACTCAAGAGATATAGCAGCGCCGTCTCCCTTCCGAGTGTTGTGGTGTTTTACTGGAGAACATGGGTTTGCGGTAGGCTGGAAGTTGTCGGAGTAACCGCAAAGCCGCACATAATCCCCAGTATTTCCGGCCAAGTGCATTTGTAGGCTTGGGTGGGTCTGCATCGTAGGATGGCGGGCAATCGCTTAACAAAGGCTACGTTTTGAGTGGCCAAATGTGCTGGATCATAAATCCTAGTTTCCTTAATTTTCTGTCTCGGGATGACGGGAAAGGGCGCCCTGAAAAAACTGCGGAGTTGGAGCTTCCAAGAGAGAGAAAGAGGAAAGGGGACGCATTGGTGCAGCCTCTCAGGGACCTCATCCCGTTCTCTTCAATATTCCCCTCCATTTCGTCTCCGTTTCCCCATCTCTCTAAACGTCCGCCTCGTACGCCTCCTCTCCGCCTCCTCGGGTTTGTGAGGGGCTGTAATTTTAAACAGAATTCGTATCCAAAGAAATCACACCTCGCGTGGGGCAAAGTGATGCCTGCCTTTCCCGAAAGGAGAAGGCTTTGCTCGGCTGCCCGAGCGCGCAGGCAGGCGGAGGTGAGGCGCTCATCAACCCCCTTGCAGAGATCAACTCACCGAAAAGGGCCTTTGGGCAGAGAAAGTGGCGTCTCAGGAGCCGCTGACTTTCGCTCCTGCTTGCCACGCTTCAGCCCGGGGATTTCAGAGGCTCCGGGCAGAAAGGCCAAGGCTGGACCAGCTCCGGCCTCTTCCCCACAGATTGTGAGGAAGGAAGCGACGCCTTTTCCGCCTCGAACCAGGTGGGGCGGTTCGGCAGAAAAGAACCCTCCCGCGTCCCGCTAGCACAGCTTGGAAGGTTCGGTTCCTGGTCACGAACAGAAGCGCCACTTGGTTCCAGCCAAGGCTCCGCAGGAGCCCTTAGTCTGGCCGGCCTGATGGCTGCGAACCTGGGGCGCTTCGAGCGCGTTCTTAACACGCCACTTCGGCGGCCGCGTCCCCGGCTTTCCCGAAGGGCAGCGAGGTTGAAAGACTTGAGCCAGAGGGCAGTCACGTTTTTGGCAGCCCGAAATCTAATCGCGTAAGGCGAGGCGAGGCAGCGAATTTGCAGCGGGCAGGGGAAAGAAGTTTGGACCCTGTAATCCTCTGCCCAGTGTTTTCCGCCTGCTCCCACGCAGCAGATTTACCGCAGAGCATGAGAATGCTGGACTGGGGCCATACTTAGCTATAAGTGGGGCTCACACAATACACTCATCTATAGACTTAACCAGTTTTCAGGCTTTGTACAACATAGTGAATACTGAACTAATGGGCCAGGCTGATTTGGCAATATGAGATCCACTGTAGTGCATTCACTGCAAAATCACTTCTGTGGCCGCAGGACTCGACAAGACCTTCAGCCTCTACCTTGAAGGTATTCCTTGCCACTGCTCCACCTCTGACCCAGAGAGTGCCTGGGAATGTTGGGAGCTGTACCTTAACACGGGGCTGGCCGTTGAAAGACCGGGATGCTGCAGAGGCTTCAGCCTAAGATTACTGGCAGGATGAAACCAAACGATGGGGAATTTTTGTACCCATTTTAAGGAAACCAAAGTCTTCAGATTAAGAAACCTGCCAGAACTGAAATAGGGCATCTTTGTTGAATTCCCATAGAAATATTGCTGGTTGCAGAAATATTTCTTCACAGACAAAGGAAGTTGGAGAAGAGCGCCTCTGTGGCTTTGTTGGCACAAGTTTAATCAGGGCTAAACTCTTAAATGTATTGGAAAAAATGGATTCCCACGTTTCTTTTTAAAAATATGACAATATGTTGCAGGAACCCAGACCCAACTTTATAATCCAACATATTGTAGGAAATTGTTAATTCAAGAATGAGCTTAAACCTCATATTTTCTGTCTCTTTGGCTTTCCTTTCCCACTTACAAACTTTTCACTCACTGAACATCTCCCAGCTACATCATTCCTCAATTCAAGAATAACTTTTCTTCTGATTCATGTGGCATAAAACATAAAAAATAAGAAGGGAGCATAGGATTGGCCTCCTTTTTTTTAAAAAAAAAAAAGAGCATTCCAAGGTCATTTAGAATGCTTAACCATATTCACTTGGAGGTTATGGGTTTTCTATTGCATGTTCAAAGATAAAAATGTGTGTGAGAGTGAGCTTTACTATTGGTTTTATAGAGTTGTAGATGACATGTATAGTCTACGTTCATCCAACTCAGTTAAAACAGGTCAAATAAAGACCTAGCAGTTGTATTTGATAAATGTAGTAAATGTTAAGATTATTGTCACTGTTTAAATGTTTGGCTTATTGGACAAACGCAGTCTCCTCTTGTGTTAACCTATATGTACCCGCAGTTAAACAACTAGCTTATTTGTGTAGCTGGTTCCCATACCCACCAAACAATACCACCAACCACCTCCAAAGCCACTGTCTTCCCCTTCTTCTGGAACTCCAGGGGTTTGACATCCTTTATGTGGAAATGTGTAGTTCTCTATGGTGCTCATCTGCAAATTTCATATAAGTTGACCACAGTATCATTTGGATGGCCCTTAAAATTTCATAGTGTTTACTTTCAAACTAAAACATACCTGTAAGAATGATGGGGTGCTGAGTATCTTAACAAAATTCTCAAGTTGTTAAAAATTAAAAAAAAAAAGCTTGGTTTACATCTCAAACAGATAAATCACAATTTGGATTTACGTGCCCTGTGAACAAAATCAGTATTTAAGCACCAGGTTTAACTGTACTATTCAGACACAGACACCACCATTGCAATAGAAACCAATAGCTGTCTATGGAGATTCTCAATCATCCAGATCATGGTTGTCTCAAAGGTACTTTTTCCAAAAGGCAGCTGGATCTCTCCTTTGAAAACGTTTCAAACTTCTTCAGTTCTTTGAAAGCGAAAGGTTTATAAAGGAAAGAAGGGGGAAAAAACCTGAAGAAAGTCCAATAGCCTTTTGCAAAAAGCACCTTTGCAGAAATCTGTGGGTGGATAGTGCCAAACTAGCTGAAACTGGGTAGGAAGTATATGCTGATATTTCCATCTCAGAAGTGTCACACAGAGGAAATAATAAAAGAGATTCCACTCTTCTTAAAAAAAAAAACATATTAACGATATTGTTTTAAACCAATGTTGTGTCTAGTGCCATTCCACTGCCAGTGTTGGTTGAGATTTTAATACTTTCAAAAAGACTAAGCAAATTTTCTAGCTTTGTCTAACGAGGCCAGGGGATCAGATCTGGAATTTTGGGAGGCCCCTTTCAAGCCAGGAATGAATGCCGAGGTGCTCCTGCACACGTGTCAAGTTTCCGCTACCCGGGGACACACCCGCTCTCAACAAACCGCGACTTGTTTATGCGCTGCTTTGACGGGATTTGGAGGCGAGGTACCCACATACAATTAAGGACGCGAGCTCCCCTAAGCATATGCAGAGTGCCGACCAAGTCTGCATCGTGCCGATCCTAGAAAACACTCTGCCCTTCAAGGCTCCGCGTGAGCATCAAACACCCCCCACCCAAATAATAACAATAATCCCGGATTCTTACCGGCTGTTCGCGCTTCCTCTTGGCGTCGCGGGGCTCGGCTTTCTTGAGCTCGGCCTTGAAGCCCTCGGCGGCCGGCCCGTCCTTGGCGAGCACCTCCATGAGGTAAGCGATGTAGCTGGTAGCCAAGCGCAGCGTCTTGATCTTGGAGAGCTTCGTGTCGGCCGGCACGTTGGGGATGCACTCGCGGAGCTCTGCGAAGGCGCTGTTCAGGCTCTCGGTGCGACGCCGCTCCTTGCGCGGGGCTCCAGGCGCGGGCCCGGCCCTCCGCCGCCCCGCCAGACGCCCGCCCAGCTCCGAGGGGCTGCTGCCGTAGGACGAAGAGGGCGAAGCCGAGGAAGCCAGCCCGGCCGCAGCACAAACCAGCTCTGGAGGCGGCGGCTGAGGCGGCTGAGGCGGCGGAGACAGCTCGGCCGACGCTGCGCTCAAGAGCCAGCCCTGCGCGAAGGGCCGGTCGGACGCCGCCGCCGCCGCCGCTGCTGCAGCCGCCGCCGCCGCCGCTGCCGGGAAACATCGCGCAGGGGGCGGCGGTGGGGGCGGCCCGAAGAGAAACGGCTCGTGCAGCAAAGCGCTGTGCGGGTGATGGTGCGGGTGCGGGTGGCCCTGGTAGTTCCCCACCACGTTCATGGCGAGTGCCTTGCGCTACGAAGCCATGGGCGGACGAGCGGGCGCCTCCACACACACCAGTCCCCGACCGGCCGCCTCGGCCCTGCTCCGTTCCTACCCCTCCGCTCGGCCTTTATACAGCGGCGGGCTTTTGATGTCACCCAGGGCAGGGGGAAGGGAGGGGAGGGGAGGGGGGGAAATGGGCGCGCGCACGCACGCACGGACGCACGCAAGCGTCCTGGCGGCGCCGAGGAGCTCGCCCTTCTGAAGCTGCACTCCCGGCCTGGCCTGGCCTGGCCCGTCCGCCGGATCCTTGCCAATGAGCCCCTCTGTGCGGCCTTCTCCCCGTTTGTGCCGAAGCGCGGATCCCAGCTCCGAGCTCTTCCGGAGGCCGCTCCGAAGACAAGAGCCCATTTCTAGAATCCGCCTCGCCGGCTTTGTTGCCCTGCCAGAGGAACAGCCCCGAGAGGCTTCTCCGCCTCCTCTTTCCCCCCAGGAAGTTGCCCCTGGGTTGGAAACCCTCAAGCTGTTTTGTCCCGAGCTGAGAAGCCTGACGTTAAGGTCGCATCGGGTCGCTTCGCTTCCCCCGTTATCGGTTCTCTTCGCGGTGGAAACCGCCAGAGACTGGCTACTCCCTGCCGCTCCCCGAAGGCCGCGCCGCGCGATTTCGAGGGGCCGGGAACCGGGAGACCTCGGCAGCTCCCGGCCTTTGCTTCTCCGCTGGAAGCGCCTTCGACGACCAAAAGCGGATCGACAGGGCAGGCATCACCCGTGCTGCGCGCTTTCCTCGCGAGGCCGGCTGCGTCTCTATTTTTGTCAGGCCATCTCCATCCAGTCATTGATTGGGTGATTCTCCCAGAGAACTGGGCTGTGGTCGCAATCTAAGAGGGATACTTCAATATAGAATTCTTTATTGGTCAAGTGTGACTGGACACACAAGGAATTTGTCTTGGTGTAAATACTCTCAGTATGTATAAAATTGCGTCAGTACCCAAAATAATGCAACTAAATAATCATTAAAGACAAGAAAGGGGTGTTCTAACCTACAGCAATTTAACACTACTCAAATTAGCCCCGAAATCAATCCACATCTACGTTCAAGAAAGATGGTTGTATTTCAGGACAATCTAATTCCACTCCTTTATAAACCGAAGGAGAGGGGGGATATTTTAAGTACCTCCAATTGGTACATTCCAGATTTCTGTCTTATTTTGTGGGAGAACTTTCCACCAGATCTGTACAGTACTTTGGTCGAGGCAACTCCTCCCAAGTTTTGAAGTAGAGGTTGAGGCTTTATCCTTATTGTCAATGGGACTCTGTTGCCTTAGATATTAGGTGCGGAAATTGTATTTCTTACTACTCCTAATCTGAGCCTGAGATTTTCCTCTTCCAGCCATTAGGAGAATTAAAATTTACTGGACTGGAAGAAGTTTGTAAACCTGAGGAAAGGTGAAAGCCATAGTGTTCACTCTGAAATGAGAAAAGAAATAATCAATGGCCGTGTTAAGAGATTATTTTTATTAGTGCAATGGAAGGTTTAATTGTTTAATGTGCAAGATTTCAGGGATCCAAGAATTCATCATCAAGAGATAATTTTTGTTACCCTGAAAACATTAGATTTAGGGTGCAATTATCTGCCTGTTTTCCTAAATGTGGAGGGGGAAAAAAGCTCAACCACACTTTGAGTAGTTCTCCGTGGAACTGTCCTGATGAAGGGCAAAGGCAGACAAAAAGTCCAATATTTATTAGAATATTAACGCTTCTGGTCTGTATAATTCTGATGCCTTGAACGAAGTAGAGAATAAACAATGAAAACAAACCAACACTCACAAAATAATTTCAGTGGAGCATTTTTAGTCAATTTTATTAGAAATGATCAATCAGGCTGCAAAATTGGTAAATCATTCATAACTTTGCTTATAATCAAACTGAAGAAATACCTAATATTGCCTACATCTTCTCCTGTCATAACCAACTAGGAACAAACCTATAATACTGTACACACCAGTCAGAAATAAATCTAATTACAATCAAAAGGATTACTTCCTGTAATGTAGGTGCAGACCTTACAGTAGAAAAATCCAGATTGGAACATATTTTAACATGTTTGTGGACATGTGGAATTTGGAAGATTCCTCACTCTTTATTCCTGGCCTTTTGGATTGAAATAAAATGGGTTTATTACAGTAGATCTGAATTTGAATCCATTTAAATTGTCTTGTGCAAGGTATTTCTGTGCCTGAATGTCACTGTTTAGAATTCTCTATGTATCAGCCATGCTGCTTCTCTCATCACAGATGATGTTTTCTATTAAAAACAGAACTAGAAAATAGACCAAGAGAGACAGGAGAAAAACAAGATTGAATGAAAGAAGGATCAAATGGACCAGTAATCAGTCTGCCCACCCCACACCCATTTCTAACTTTCATTTGCCTGAAGCAAGTTTATTTTTCTAGCTGGTGGGCCTTTGTTTTTGTTTTTCTCTGCTAGAGCGCTAACCAAGCCAAGATTTCTGTTTTCTGGACCAGCTTCCAAGAGAGTGTAATGAATGTGTCTCCATTGGAAGTGGCAACACTGTCTTCTCAAACTGCGGAAGCCCACCAAATGCATTGATTCATCATTCCTACTAGCTGGAGTGTTCATCAAACACACCAAGAGGGCTTTGGGGATTGTGGAAAGAATAAGATCCAATATTTCTGGAGGAAACTGCGTTGCATTGCATTCTCCTTCCAGTGGTGCCTGGCTACCATCTCTGTTAGTTCATTTACCGCCTTCCAGAAAAATTGATCTGTGTGCTGGTTGGGGGTTATGGGGGCTGTAATCCAATATATCTGAAGTTGAATGCGATTGGAGAAGGATATTTCAATAGTACAGGCATTAGAAAAAGAGAGGTCCAAATCTGCTGGTAGATCTTTGAACAGGCGACTCCAAGGGTGTCCTACCCCACAATAGTTAACATTACCCCAAGCAGTGAAAGCGAAAGAGGTTAGTCTGAAGTCAGGGGCTGAGATGAAGAAATGTATCTGGGGTAACCAGATACAAAGCCTTTGCTTTGAGAGTTTAACGATTTTGTGGTATAATTATTTATTCCTCGTTGTATAGCTTTTAACCTTCATCCTGAGCAACCTCATTGTGTGATTTTGGATACAAATAGGCCAAACCCTTAATGTTTTGATCCGTGGTCTTCTCCTCCCAGATTGGGAAGGGGGTGATACTGTCCCGAATTGTCTCGGATCTCCTGAAAGGTTAGTTCTCATTTAGAAGCTGCTTCTACCTTTGGAATCTGACCAGTCCTGAGCCTTCGGCACTTAAGCAAAGGGACAGGAAAGGAGCAGCAGGATACAATTCTCAGGGCAGCTTTTCTGAGTCAGTCAATAGGGACCTTTACCTTTTGGAGAGTATCCAAAGGGGCGAGCAAGCTCCGCCCTCGCTTTCAAAGCGTTTGCTCTCCTCCCCCACCCACGCCCCACCCGCTGTCCTGCTCCCCGCACCCCATTAATAGGGTACTATATGCAATTATATTCAAAATTTTGAGCCTGGGGGTCACAATTCTGAGCCGAGCGTGGCCATTTCGGGGTATTTTCCGTCTCCCTTATGTTTTCTGGCGATTCTTTCCCTTCGTGCCACGGGTAGATCTCAGAAGACCTTGTTCCGAGGAAGGCGATTCGTTTTCCTAATTCGGAGCGAAGGAACAGCAAGCGAAGTCGCGCGTATTCGCCGCTGGCCTACCCAATCCTCAGCTCCACTCTCGCCTCTCCCTTCCAGGGCATGTTCCTGTCTGGGAGGGGAGGGGTATGTCGGGTCCCCCATGGCGCGACCGCAAGAATTCGTGACTGCTGTTCCCAGAGCCCCCCTGGCACCAGGGCTGTTTGTGCCAGGGGCCCTTTCGCCGTTGCTTGGCAGAGTGACCCGAAAGGGTCGTGGGAGAGGAGAGGAAGGGTCGCCCTGGCTAGTCCTGGGCTGCTCAAAAAACGTCCACCGATCCCGTGGCCACTCTATAAAGGCTGCTGGGATCCCGTCCGGACAGCATCGAGAAAAACGACTTCCCACCCCTGTAGTCTGTATTTCCTCTGGCAAATGTGATTCAGGGAAGAAAGTGCCGCCGGCCTAACTTTAAATGCCATTACAGCATCTGTATTCCAATCCCTCCCAACAACAACAATAACAACAAACCCTCGGGCGCTGCTCCTGTACCTTGTGGCCGTGAGTTCCACAAGGGTGAATTCGTCTGCCCTACCTATGGCGATAGGCGAAAAAAGCTTTGTTGGATTCTCCACCTCGCCCATTTTCGACGCCAAGGACTCGTGGAAAATCAGAGCGCTTCTGGATGTGGCCTAATGGCCATTATTTCCCAGAGGGGCATCCTACCGGGCAAGATCGGGCTTGTTCCTCCTTAGGATCTTTGGTTCGTCTTCCTCTTATCGGGACGCCGACCCCCTTCCATCCAGCCTCGCCTTCTCCTCTCAAGGACTCGTCTTCCTTCAACAACCTATTTTTCCATCCCCACCCCCCCACCCCCGGAAAAGCCCGTGGGCCAGAGACTGATGCTGGGCCCTCCTGCCCAGGGAGAGACGGACAGAGCAGGAGGTGGCGACAGCCGGCGACGCCTTGGAGGTGGTGGGGTTGGGACGGGGTGGGGGGAGAGGGGGTACGGTAGCGGCGATCCTGGCGCCGTGAAGCTGGGACTAGCCGTCCCTCCGGGAGGGATGGAAGCGACGCGGAGCTGCATTTCAGGCCCTGCTGCCCCGCTACCGTCTGAGCCACGCGAGCTCCGCAAAGTGACGACCAGAGCTGAGCAGAGGGAGAGGACCGGAGCTCAGCCGTCTCCGAAGCAGCAGCGGCGGCGGCGGCTGCTTCATAGCGCAGCGCTCCGGGAGCTCTCCGGATGGCCACTGGAAACTTCGCCCGGGCTTAGGTCAAGGGCGCGCCACTTGCGGGGTTGTGGAGCTCCGCGATCTGTGCGTGAAAGGATGGCAAATGACAAGAACTAGCAGCTGGGCACGGGGTGCGCAATCAGAAGG